GGGTTTGGTTCCACATCATGCTGCACCACATGCAAAACCCCGTGTGTGCGTGTGCGTGTGCGTATGTGTGTGTGCGTATGTGTTTGTGTGTGTGTGCGTATGTGTATGTGTGTGTGTGCATGTGCATGTCACGTGTGTGTGCCCCCATGTGTGTGTGTGTGTGTGTGTGTGTGTGTGTGTGTGTGTGTGTGTCTGTGTTTGTCTATCTCTGTGTTTGTGTGTATTTGTGTGTGTGCGTATGTGTGTGCGTGTGCGTATGTGTGTGTGTGTGCGTATGTGTATGTGAATGTATGTGTGTGTGCATGTGTGCGTGTGTGTGTGGGTGCTGTCATATTCACCATACACTCAAAAAAGTATGACTGTGCTAGACTGGAGGGGAGCGAGGCGCGATGTGTGTTTGTGTGCACCACACGCAAAAGCCCGTGTGTGTGTGTGCGTATGTGTGTGTGTGTATAAGGCGGAGAGATTGAAGAAGAAAGAGGAGGAAATCAAAACGAAGCCAGAGGAGGAGAAACGAAAGTTGGAGGAGGAGAAACGAAAGTTGGAGGAGGAGAACAAGAAGGTAGAAGAAAAGATGTTGAAGGAGATGGAAGAAGAAGCAAGGAAGATTGTGGAGATTGAGATCCTAGAAGAAGAAGGGGAACCGAAAGGAGAGGAGATGCAGCGAGGCGGGGAAAGTAGCCAGCTGCAGCAAGATGAGGCCCACGAATGGCTGGCGAAATTCGGCTTCCTAAAGGAATGGCTGGTTGACAAGACCGAAGAGGAGTTAGAAGAATGTCGGGCCAAAATGCAGGCTGCAGAGAAGAGGTTGAAGGAAGAAGAGGAGGAGATCTGACAAAAGCTCCGAGAGACGGAAGAAGGTGAGATAGATGTCAAAGCCAGGTTAGCCCACTCCACCCAGGAAAATGCCGTGACGCCTGTTGCAGTAGGAAAGGTAAGGCCCACCAAGAATAATTCAAGAGCAAACAGAACAACTTCGTTGTGGCCAACCTCCGTACATCAACCAAAAGGCTTCCCACTATGTGTACGAGTTAGAAGGCATCCCCGTAAATAAACTTGCAGTTATGACAGCTAAGATGGGTGGCCGAGGAGGAGGAGATCCTCATGTTGAGATGGTGGAGATGATGGCAAACGAGGAGGTGGGAAAGGAGAAATGAGGCAACCTGAAGGAGAAAAAAAAAGAAAAGATGAAGGTGAAGGTCCCATGAACATATAACGGGAAGGAGGAGAATGTATTTCAGTGGGAGGCAGTCATGAGCATGTACCTGTACGCACAGTTGATCCTTACTGGGACCGTGTTTTGATGGCGAGTTTGTGACTTGGAGGGGACGCTGCCAACTTCCTTATATCCTTGGTGAAGGCGGCAGGTTGCACCACGATGATGCAGTATTCCCAGCAGACCCGTACAGAGGACTTTATGAAAGCCCTGGCCAAACAGGGGGGGGGGAAGAGAGAGAGAGAGAGAGAGAGAGAGAGAGAGAGAGAGAGAGAGAGAGAGAGAGAGAGAGAGAGAGAGAGATTGTTGTGGAAGCCACGCTGCCAGACTTGAGATCTGAGACAGATTGCTGGAGGCGTGTTGGAAGAGAGTAGATCATGGTCAAGGAGAGAAAATTATTGGTTGGTGTTGGCATAGACTGGTTCTTCTTCTCTCATCCACTCTTTCCTCCGTCTCCTACCTCACACTTTGTGACTTTGTCTGTGTCTGATTTCAAAGGGGAGATCCCTTCTGTCTTTGGACCCCTCCCTGGCTGGGGTGCAATAAGAGTTGAGTAACATCATCATTTTGCTGCATTGTCAAGTCAGTCCTATCTGATTTGAATCATCTCATATGTTACATAACATCATGATGGTGATCTGTGGACTTTAAGCTGCCTTGAATCATTACATGGCATCTCTCTCTCTCTCTCTCTCTCTCTCTCTCTCTCTCTCTCTCTCTCTCTCTCTCTCTCTCTCTCT